TTTTACCAATACTTTCAAATGGCCTCTCTATCAAACGAACCTTTGCTTTCGGACCGACCTCCTTCTACCGATATACTAAGCACTACGGCTAAAGGAGATGACGCAAGCCAAGATAAGTTAATTGATAAAGCAATTGAGAATCAAGCGATTGAGGGTCAAGCGGCTGAAGGTCAGGCGGCTAAGGGTCAGGCGGCTGAAGGTCAAGCGGCTGAGGGTCAAGCAGATGAGGACGAAGCACAAGAAGGTGAAGCAGATACAATACGCGGCGAAAGCGTAGAAGAAGAAAACTTAAATTTGCAAGGTGAACAAAGTAAGTTTATATTTAATTAATCGGAGTACTACTAATACTTTTTCAGTTACTTTGCCTAGCGCAAATCCTTATCTTCAGTCTAGCAAAGCTTAATTGGCTACGGATGCGCCAGACCCTACTTTTGCTGAGCGCCGCGCTACTACAACTCGACAGCCATCCGGTTAGTATTTGATTAGTAAATTGATTAGTAAATCAATTGCAAATAGCTGACAAGCATTTACAGAAATTCCTGACCCCACTTTTGCTGAGCGCCGCGCTACTACAACTCGACAGCTATCCGGTTAGTATTTGATTAGTAAATTGATTAGTAAATCAATTGCAAATGGCTGACAAGCATTTACAGAAATTCCTGAAACCCCGCGCGGTATTGCAAGTCCACAACAAAGAACCGATTTATCCCCGTCCCTTTCTCGCCGAATTTCTCAAGGTCAAGCTAGTAAGTATTAATTACTTTATTAATTAATAATTGCTAATTTCTATTATTTTAGGTGACGCTCTTCAAACACCAACAAACTCTCGCGCAAATACAGACCAGCACTTATCATCTCCTAGACCTCGATCCGGTAATGTTTTTGACTTATGATTAGTAAATATTTACTAATCAAATTTTTCTTTAGCAAACGCAGTCAGATATACTCCGGCTATTCAATCCGAAATGAACAAAGGCATCGTTCCTGACAATACTAGCATGAGTACTAACAGCTTTCAGTAAGTTTAATCTTTTTAAACTTTTTTCTTTCGTTCGCTAATTGTTTTAGAACTGCTTTAAAAGCAACACAATAATCGACGAGCCAAGCGAGTGCATCAGCTCAGCTTTAAAACGAGGATCCGTCTTACGACTTAAGTGCTAGAAACAATTCTTCTGCAGCTGCTGAACCTTCTTCTGCTTCTACTAGCAATCGCATTAAAAAAGCTTTCGCGCAAAAAGCTCTTAAAGGGTCTCTCACTGTCTCGGGCCTAATTATAGCTACAAAAACCGCGACGAGGACGATGCCTTATAGTGATACAGATGAAGAAGAGCAAGGCGATGATGAGGAAAACTCAAGTGAAAATGATATTCTTTTCTCTTAACACAAAAGAGCTAAAAAATCACTCTCGACGGCTAGAGCTGCTCGCTCCGTTCCATCAGCTGGCAAATCACCTTCGGCAGCTAAAACTTCTTTTCGTCAAAAATCCAAAAAAGGCAAGTATCTTAAGAAGTCTGTAGTTGTTGCGAAAAAAGGAGGTCTAAGCCAACGAAAGCGCCGTCGCTATAAGCCAGGAAGTAAGTTCAATCAATTAATAAATTGATTCTCAAGTACAATTACTGATTTATATAGCTACTGCGTTAAGAGAGATCCGACGATACCAAAAAGGCACCGAGCTTTTTATCAAAAAGACTCCTTTCTAGCGTCTTGTTCGAGAGATCACTCACGATTTTAAACAAGACTTTAAATTTCAAAGCGGTGCTTTAGAATGTTTACAAGAAGCTTTAGAGGCATTCCTCGTAAGAGAGTTTGAAAGTAAGTACTTATATATTTATTTACTAATCGATTTACTAATCGATTTACTAATCGATTTACTAATCACTTTTAGTGACGAACTTATGTGCTATTCACGCTAAACGAGTAACGATTTAAAACAAGGATATGGCGTTAGTTAGGAAATTGCGGGAAATCATGACTGGAAGTTTTGTTTAGTAATTTTAGTTTATTATAATGTAATGCAATGTAATTGTAAAGTATAACATATGTGATTAATAAATATAATAAATAAATATAATGATTAAGTAAAATTAGTAAATATTCGTAAATTTGTTTTATTTTTAGCGGCCCCACATATATTATTTTTAGCTGTCCCACTTTAAACCTATGGGGTTTCCCCATCCCCCGTGGGGAATTTGACTTAAAAAAATCCTCCCCATGGGGTTTAAAAAAAAAAGTCCCCCATCGGCCAAGACCCCATGGGGGGAATGGGGAGGAAAACCCCATGGGGCCCCCACCCCATGGAGCAGCCTAACGATACTTAATAAATTAAAGACTCGGTCGCTTTTTTACGAGAATTTGCTATATAAAAACGAGATGTTAATAACTTGAAAAACTATTATCGCATTTTCTTTTAAGTCTTCGAAAAGCTTATTTCAATGCACTTCTTAAGCAAGACCGAATAAAGCCGCTTGTTCTTTTTCGAATTGCTTATCGAAATCCGAAATAAAACGATTAAGTATTGCAAAATCGACGAGTTCGACTTAAACTTTTATATTGCTTTCGACGACTTCGCTATATTCGCTTTTAAAACCGATTAAAATGCTAAGACTATCGAAGCTATAAATTAAAAAAAGTCTTTTTTAATTAATTTTATTAAAGATATACGGACTTTAATTAAAGAGTACACTAAGTTAGCTAGCGTTCTTAAGTATATTAAGAAAGCTTTAATAGTAGTACCGTTTACTCGTAAACTACGGTTTACGAATAAAAAAAAAGAAATTAATAAAGTAAGTTTTATAATTAAAAAGTTTTTTAAATTATAAATCGATGCGATTTATAATCAAATTGATTACTTCGAAGATTAAGTCGCTAACTTAACTTTTCGACGCGTTATTTAATCTTAGCTTTAAGTTCGATTCGAAGACTACGACGAAGCTCTTATTAAGTATACCGCTTAAGATACTCGAAGTAGAGTTAGCTTTGGAAATAAAGTTTATATTGCTGCTATCGATTACGAATTATAAAAACAAAAAAAAGAAAAAATAAAAGATACGAGAATTAAATGCAAGACTATAGCTTTTGCGAGAACTTTAAAGATATAACTTAAGCTTTTTATTAATATCGAGATGAATATAAAGCTTTTAAAAATATAGTTAATAAAAGATATATTTATATTAGTAATTACGAACGCTTTTGCTTATGACTTAAAAAGATCGATGCTTTTATTATTTAAAAAAAGCAAAGAAAGACTTAGTTTAAATCTATCGTATTAAACGTTCGTAAGACGGAATACGATAACATCTTAGAAAATCGACTTACTAGCAGACTTAAGACTTATAAACACTTACTTTCTTATTAACAATTAATCTAACAGTTAACTTAGTATTAGCTAGATCAAAATCCTTAGCGACTAATTAATTAGCTAAGTGAACTTATTATTACCTTTAAAAGACTAGTCGATATTAAAAATATTAATATTATAAAATAGATCAACACGCTTAGCTATTTATCTAGCATAAAAGTTGCTTCGGTCGAGATCAACGCTATTGCAAAAGACAAAGCTAAAAAGCTTCTTTCGCTTTCGAAAAGATTTAAGCTTATTAAGGTTAAAAAGAATATTCAATAACAAAAGGAAAAGAATTACGGCACTTTTAAAGCTCGTGCTTTTTAAGAATCGGATACTATTATAAAGATAGATTTAAAAGATAAGTTATTCGATAATATAATTAAAGAAAAGTCTTTTAAACAAGCTAAAGCCGACGAAGCTATAAAAGATATAAAAAGAAAAGTTAAAATCACTTAGCGAGTATCAAAAAGAAAGAAAAAAAAGACTTATAAACGAAAGAAGTTTATTAACTTTTACGTTATTATTAAAGCTTAAGAAAAAGCAGTGGCGGCGATTATGAAATCGAAAATCAAGGTTTAAATTAAAGACTTGTTCAGACTTAGCTTTCGCTTCGACAAGCTATTAAGCTATTATATTTTAATAATTCTCGATGCTAAAGAAAACGTAAAAGTCTTTCAAAGTAAGCTTATTCTTGTAAACGCTTTAACTATTAAACGTTTAAGTCGAAATAAAAAAAGCAAGCTAGACTTTTTAGCGACGCAAATTCGTAAACAACTTATCGCTTGCAATTGCTTCGAAGTAGCGATAAAGATCTTAAAAGTTTTTATTAATATCGACGGTATAATTAAAAGTAGATCTTTCTTCGATAATAGATTTAAAGTCAATGTAATAAACAAAGAAGTAGCTAAAATAGCTAAACTACTTATTATAACAGATCGAACTTTAGTTTATATTATTGTGTTCGAAGATCTTTATAACTTCGATAAATAGATAAACGACGTCGAAATTATTATTAATAAGATTATTAACTACGCCGATTTCTTTATTATTAATAATAGCAGTTACGAAGTCATCTTAAGCATTCTTTTCTTTTTAAAGTCTTAATTCTCTTTTTCTTACTTCGATAATAGCACGATAAAAGCTTTTTTTTAAAACTACGATCGATCTACTTAAAGATAAATTACTATTGCAAAAAATAAATCGGATTTAATCGAAGACTCGAAAAACTAATAGCTAGCATGCAAGCTAAAATAGATACTAAGCTAAAGAGAAGCTTAAAAGAAAATTCTGCTCGTAAATTATAGTTTACGAATAAATCGGCATAAAAATAATAAAATTATAAAAAAACAATTCAACTTAATATTAAGCAAAGCTTATTAAAATCAAAAACATTAAAAATATTTATAATTAAACTCGATAAATCGGAAAATTTTATGTTTATTATCGATAATTATAATGCTTACCAGCACTAAGATCAAGAAGAGATTCTGTGGATTGAATGAAGCTTGGTATTTTTTATTTAAGAAGCTCGTCAAGATCTATGTATATGTACTTAAGAGCTTTAATATGCTAAGGGCGCTATTAAACGAGGTCATATGATATGTTATATATAGCTTAAGTAGAACTATGCTTGTTCCGCATAACACACTTTTTAAGTCAGCAAAGTAGCTATTGAGCTGCAAGCAAACAAAAAAGAAAAAAAAATAATTAAGCTTTTTAAACTCGATATAAACAAAAGAGATTGTTATCGCAATTTAAAATAAATAAATAGCGGTTATTATTATTAATTAAGTATTAATCAAAAATGCAATTCTTTCTTAAATCGGTCTTATCACGTAGCGAAGGTCTTTAGCGCCGTCTTTATCGCGTTATTATATAAGTAAAAGCGCGTTCGTTTTTATTATAATAAATACTTAATTTTTATTTATTTACATAATGCTTTTTAAGCAAATAATTTGTAGTGCTTACTAGCACTAAGATCAGGAGGAGATTTTGTGGATTAAATAAAGCTTGGTATATTTTATTTAAGAAGCTCGTCAAGATCTATGTACATGTACTTGAAAGCTTTAGTGTGCTAAAGGCGCTATTAAGCGAAGTCACATAATATATCACATGTAGCTTAAGTAAAACTATGCTTGTTCCGCACAATACACCTTTTAAGTTAATAGCGTAGCTGCTAAGCTGCAAGCAAATAGAAAAGAAAAAAAATAAGTGATTAAGCTTTTTAAATTCGATATAAATAAAAGAGATTGTTATCGCAGTTTAAACAAATAAATAACGGTTGTTATTATTAATTAAGTATTAATCAAGAATGCAATTCTTTCTTAAGTCGGTCTTATTACGTAGCGGAAGTCTTTAGCGCCGTTTTTATCGCGTTGTTATATAAGTAGAAGCGCGTTCTTTTCTATTATAACAAACACTTAACTTTTATCTATTTATATAATGCTTTTTAAGCAAGTAACTCAATTTAATAGAATCGTTAAGCGCGGCCGAGGCTGTTTAAGAGTAAGTGCTTTTAATAAATTAATATATTTATGTTAATTATTAAAAGAATCCTTTTTTCGCTTTAGCTATTGCTGCTGCTACAATTGCGGCGATTGCGGCGATTATATTACGCACTCTTACTCTCGAAGCTTCGCCCTTTCTTTTAGACCTTTTTATTAAGCGCTTGCTTATGTTAACGATCGTTAAAGCTTTAAAGTGTATAAAGTGTATTAATAGTAAAATTATATCGAAGTCTAATAGAGATTATTATAATTGCGATACGAGCGTCATTCGCTGTCTCCGGTGTGCTAAAGGTAGCTATAGCAATTGCACCGCTGCTTTTACCGCTGCTAATATCGCTTTCGATAACTTTATAAGCGTTAAAGATAATAGTATTATATAAAGAGTTCGCCGAGGTCTTCGAGATGTTATACGATAATAGCTCGCTTTAAATGCTGCTCTTTTAAAAGGTGCTATTAATAGTCCGGGCGGTCTAGCGAATAAAAGTAGAGGTTTTAGAAATAGTCTCGATAGCTTTATAAGTTTTGCTTTTGCTCTTAAGACTTTCAATTTAAATGTAGCTTTTATTAAATTAAATAGTTTTATAATAGCGAACCGTAGTCCGGTGACGCGAAGCGCTTCGAGCATATTACCTTTTCGTAAGTCAAGCTTTTTAACTTACGAAATGATTTAATTTAAGCAGCTCCTTTTAATTAAAACTTTCTTTCGGACTTTATACAAAGGCTTTAATCTGCTGCTATAGCAGCTTTTGCGCTTGCGCTAGCCGCCTTTATTGCTTCCGTCGCTTTCGCTGCTTTCGTCGCTTTTATTATATTTATTATCGTTGCTCTTTTTGCGCTAGTCGTTGCGCTTACCGCTTTCGCGGCGGCGCTCGCCGTTGCTATGACTCTTACGGAGCGCCGAGCTAAAGTAAAAAGATTGCTAAAAGCTTTAATCGATCTTTTATTATAAAAAGCGAAAGGTAAAAGCGTATAAAATAAAATAAAATAACGGTTAAGATTGTTAAATAAATGTTTTCTTTTAAATTACGTGCAAAAAAAAAAAAAGAAATGTAATAAGTAAATAGCATATACGTGCTATT